AGCACTTCTATACCAGTAATAACAGATTCTTATATGCTGTATATCAAATATCAATTTAATAATGTGCACAATGAGAATAATTTACAAGCAACAAACTAAACAACTCTTGTAGGTAGTATCTGTATGTTGTGACTACTACCAGGAGATGGTTCACAGGGATTGATTCAATTCAGAAAAGATACATTTAAAAAGTAACAGTCTAAGATGACAATAATTTAAACAGATGTGCTTGAAACTAACCTTCAGAACAAAAATACCAGGCTAAGTGCTGCAATGATTGCCTAAATTCTCCTTCTCAGGGCAAAATAAAGGCAAAAGCTGCTGCCCTGCTAATGTCAGTTGAAAAAAATCAAAGGAACGATATAAAACCAAAATATACAGTGAAAATCTATTCAGGAACTTTTCATGGAATACAGAGGAACGCTGCTGAACTGCTGTGATGATATATTATTAATTACTCAAGTTTAGAACCTAGATCACCCTGAAACAATCTGACATCAAAAGTGAAGAAATGCAGCAGAGTTTTGCTATTTGTATTTCTCTCCCAAATTGCCTCAAATTCTCTCATTTTAATAACAAACAAACAAAAATAACCAAAAACAAAGCAAAAAGAGTTTTGATGAAGTACAAAGAAATAACAGACTTTTGAAAGTTCTTGTAGCTCTCTGATAAAGAATGGAACACATGTTTTTCCTTCTCCTATTAGACATGTTCCAACAGAGAAGTTGCTCACTGAAAATGTCGTGTGTATGGTGCTCTCAGGTGCTGTGTGAGGAACAACTGAGGGAGCTGGGGGTGTTTAGCCTGGAGAAAAGGAGACTCAGAGGTGACCTTTTCACTCTCCACAGCTCCCTGAAAGGTGGTTGTAGTCAGGTGGGGTTGGGCTCTTTCTCCAAGCAGCACTGACAGAATGAGAGGACACGGTCTTAAGCTGCATCAGGGGAAATACAGGTTGGATATTAGGAAAAAGTTTTTTACAGAAAGGGTGATAAAGTACCGGAATGGTCTGCCCAGGGAGGTGGTGGAGTCACCATCCCTGTATGTGTTTAAAAAGAGACTGGATGTGGCACTTGGTGCCATGGTTTAGTTGAGGTGTTGGGGCATGGGTTGGACTGGATGACCTTAGAGGTCTCTTCCAGCCTGGTTATTCTGTGATTTTGTGTGAACTTTAAAACAATGCCAAGGAATGTACAATTATTCCTTGTTGCACCAGCATCCACAGCTTTGGATTGTGGAGAACAGCAGCAACAGGATGTCTTGGAAAGCACAAAGCTGGGGGGAATGGCTGTACAGGCACTGCCAGAGCAGCCACCCTGGCAGGAAGGGATGCTGTGCTGGAGATGCCCAGAGGCAGCACAGAAGCAGAACCACGGCTGCTCACAAGCACAGAGCGGTGTGTTCATGGCATTCTGTTATTTGGTCATCTGCCAAGAGTGTGACTAGCCCTTAAGGCCAACACCATTGAAACTTGTCTTGGAAAGGTCTGCTGTGGTTTGCTGCAGTAAGCCAAGTTTAGACTGTGCTGCATTTGTGAGCACATGTGTTCTTGCAATCTTTCAGGGTAATGCATTGGCAGCAGTGGGAGACATTTTATTTTTACATTTGCTTGTGCAGTAGAACCATACTCGTCTGCACTTAAATACACTTTATGGTTATTCACATTAGAGGCAAATTTTCAAAGAGCTGCTACAGTTTTTGGCCAGGTGCACCACTGCTTTTATTGAGAACTGCATGTGTTAAACTGAGCAATGTGCTTTGAGAAACAAATATATGCTTTTTTCCTCTGAACATTCAGGAATGTATGATTTTTTTCCCCCTAGATTGTTAAGGCAGTTAGCATGACTGACAGTTTGAAAGCTGCACTGGGAGAACTTGGATTCTCTAGTGCAGCTGAGGAAAGCTCAGTGCCACCTGAGGATCACTCCAGCCAGGGAAACACTCCTGTGGTGAGGTGCAGAGGTGTTTGACATCACTGAAGCAGGGCAAAAGCAGAAGGGTACAATTGTAATGGTCAAATATATGCTTTAGACTAACATGATATCCTTTCCCCTTTTCTGTGTTCAAGTATGCTCTCTCCCTTAAAAAAAAAAAGAAAAAAATCAGATTTTTGTTTCAGCGTATTTTCATTTATAATTTGTATACCTGAGAAGAGGTCTAAGCTTATATTAAAATGCCCTTTTCCAAGCTGGACAGCCCACCACCAACAAAAGAAGAGTATATATTTCATGTGTGCCCTTTGGTGCTCCCATTGGCTTCAGCCCTGCAGAAGAACAGGGACCATTCCTCTTCAAACCACACATGGCACAACAGCACACACCACAGGGTCACAGTCATCACTGTGCTCGCCCAACAGCCACAAATTCCCCTGATTATCAGCATGTTTTGTGCTAAAGGAATGTCAGATCTTGTGACCGCTCTTATAAAAGTGATTAGAAAATGGGTTTTATTTATAACAATTATAAAAGCAATACAAGCATCATGAATGGTATTCATTCAGTCTACAATTAAATGCATACTCTGCAATTTGGAATTAAAATTCACCTTCTTAAGATGTAGAAGTCTACTTTAGATATCAAATTGCTGGGCAGAAGATGTTTGACATATACTTTTATACTTTTTTGAAAACAGAAGTTCTCATTATGTAAAACATTAAGACAACGGTTGTGTTTGAAGAAAAAGGGAGGTGCTCACTCTGCATTGTCCAAGGTGCTAATTCAATGTGTTAATTACTGTTTACATGGATAATGATGTTGCTCTAGGCAATTTTCAGACAGCATTTGGAGGAAAAATTCAGTTTTAACCATAATCAACTAAAGAATGATGTACAACTGCTCTATAGCAACTGCATGCTTCACTCAGTGCACATGATGGTGTTGGTTTTAAAAATAGATTAGGATATGTGTAAGAGTCTACTAGGCTTAGGAAATTGTTTTTATTACCAAAACCTAATAGAGCACCAGATGGTCAACTAGCTCTAAAGAAGCTGCAGAATATTCAGTACCCTTTTTTCCAGCTTTGCCTTTTGATATGAATCAAGACTTTATCCTGCAAGAAAAGGGTGGAACAAAATCTGTTTTCTCAGCTAGTCTTTGGATTAATGGAAGGATGGAATAAATAAATTATATCTCAGAAAGATATACCTCACATATCTTTCATCTCAGAAATTGTGCCAGCCTGAGGAGAGTCTGAACATTCTCTAAAGGCAGAACAACTGTTTTTCTTCTCCAAAAAAGGAAGGGAAAAAACAAATGCTACTGAGGCAGTCATCTGCAAAGGCCACAGATTCAATATTGAAAGAAAAAAGAAGTTGAGTTTAGCAATCCATTAACCATTCCAAAGATTTTTTTCTCTGTGGTGATTCCTGGATTAAATACATACAACTTAGCCCAAAACAAGGCAGACAGGTGAGGTGGTGACACATTTTTGAAGTCTGCATTTGTAAGACAATCGCCCAGTGCTAACATTTTACCTATTTTCACTCATCCTGTGAAACCCTCATCAATACAACTGTTATGCCATATCATGCAAAGTAATCATATGTATTCCCCAGAAAGATTAGGCAATTTGTTTCTATGTTCTTGGCAGGTTTTAAATTAACACTAAATGATTAAGTACTAAAAATAAGGTAAAAAGACACTGTAAGCTTATCATGATGCTGAGGTAATGGATCTTGACAAACCTTCTGCTTTTATCCATTTAAGATTCTAAACCAAAAGGTATTACTTTCCTATAGCTTCAGAACACAAATTCCCTAATGTTGTAAAGCAGGTTTGCAGCTGGAAATCTAGATGGTAGGGCTGAACATACAGGCTGGCAATTCCATACAGCTGGACTACTGGAAAAAAAAATTGGTTGATATAATCATATTACAAAAAAAAAAAAAAAGAATTCTTGTAAAGAAATATTGCAGATTCCAAAAGGTCATAAATCTGTACTCAAGGAAAAAAAGACACCACCTTTCTCAAGCAGCAGAACTTGGCTGGTGTTAGATGTGATCTATGTAGTCTTGAGAAGGCAGCAGCAGTACAAAAATAACTGCCACAATCTGGGAAAAATCGCTCTTCCTCCTCTCATAACAACATTTCTTGTCTGGGTTCTTAACAGCAGAAAACTCTCAGCTGCTGCAATCAGTACCCAGACTTTATACATCTCTCCTCTTTCAATCCATCACACAAAATGAACAATATATTTTTTTATATTGAATAATAAAACTTGCACCACGTCATACATATTTCTGAGCAACGAAAACTGCTACATTCTCATCAAACTTATTTCAGCAGGTCAAAATCAGCTAGGAGCCTTTATGGTTTATGGTCTCTGGTTATAGAATGATGGTAAAACTCTTTCAGCTGAAATTTTGAAGAAGGCTAGAAAAGTGACTGATAGAGTTAATACCTTAAAGGAATATTGAAAATATTTAAAGCATTACGTTATTCTGAGATAAATATCAGAATCTGGTAACGTAAGAGACCCACAGACAAAGCCTTCACTAGATATTATTTCAAGGTAAATATTTTTTCAGAAAAATATTTTATTTTGCCTTCTTGTTACTCAGAGAGATTTTCTGAGAAAGATTTTTTTTTGTGTGTCTCCAAGGGGATATGATGTGTAAAAAACCCATCTCTTTGCTAAGATAATATATTTTTTTCTCATGCTATTTCACAATAGCTAGAGTGATTTGATTTAAACTTCCAAATACTGTCTGCACCCAAACAGTAACTCAAACAGCCCATAGTTATGACATACCTGCAATAACAAAGGAATTGTATGTAAATAAATAATATGGAGACTCTAAACAGAGCTTCAGTCTGAATGGTCTTGTCAAATTTCATACCCTCATTTTAATGCAATGCTAAGCAAAGCATGGAAATGTTTACCTTTGTCTGATCTTTAATTCCCTGAATGTATGTGGAATCATGCACAGATGCTCTGGAAAGCAGCATGGAAAAGCCTGGCATTTTAATTGATCCCAGGGCCTCTTTCCTCCCAGCCCCTGCTGCTGCAAAGTCTGCTTCTTGCTCCAAGGCTTGCCAAGGTGCAGAAGTCCAGGGGAGGAAGTAACCAATCAATTTTTTCATTTCCCTGTGTAAACAGCAGCAAATCAGGATGGATTTTGAAATCTCATTACTGGAAAGTGAGACACGTTGTGCACATTTTAACATATGTATTAACTGTATGCAGTGGCTTGCAGACAGAAATTATAAGCCATTGTGTTTGTTTCACAAAGCTTTTTTCAAAAGACAACCTGAATATGTACTTTAATACTCTGAATGCTTTTTGGACGGTGAGGGTGAAAATAATTTTTACTCCTTTGTCACTACTATTCTATTAATTTTAATGTTTTCTTACTGTTAGTTAATTATGTTGTAAGTAATACATTTTTTATGCTTGAAGACTAAATATTGGCACTTAGTAGGATGATATGTAGAACAAGGCCCTGATTTTAGGAAGATTTATTACAAAAGGAAGAATTTTATCTTTGTCCTTAAAGATTATCAATTAGTGTTGGCATGGCATATGAGTAAAAGTGAGTGCAAATTTACCACTGTCATATTTGCAAGTCAGTGAGTTGTGTGAGCCCTCTGCACCTCCTGCATGGCAGGTTGGTTTGCCATTGTTTCCAGGTTTTTAAGAGGTTGCTTTGCAGGACTGCCCTTCTGTGACAATTATCAACACGAGATTTTTCAAGCTATTCCATGCTCCCTGCTATGTCACCTTAGTAGCTTCCATGGACATGAACAGATCAATGGTAATTTGAAAACACCAACTCATTGCTAATTTCAATAAAAGCAGATATTCCACTAATAACATGCCACTTCTGCCTCTGAGGTCCTTACTGCCTTCATGTAGCTCAAAGCTGGATCCAGGGAATGAAGATTCTTACATATGCCACATAAAAGCTCTGAATTTATCATCAGATAATACAAGAATTTGTTTCAGTGGTATATATATGGAATTTGAAAACTGATACATGCCTCAAACTATTTACTCCATAAAAGATTAAAAATAAATATGATATATACATATACTTTAACTTTGCAGGGAACAGGTTTTTAAACTTTTAATTGGAAAATAGAAATCTGCTTCACTGGTTCCTAAGAGAAACACTTTTGGCACAGTGAAAGGATTAAACATGAATATTCAAGATTTCAAAGATCAATTAATTTTTTCAATAGTTTTGAAAAGAGAGAGAAATCCTAGACATACTCAGGTACATATAACCTTTGCCACTGAGTTAAAGTCAATACTTTCAGTAAACTTCTCGTGGTAGGAAAAAGAAGTAATATCATTAAGCACTACCTATAGGCAGCAAAATGCTTTTATTTACATTATTTAGCTCTGATTCACCCTACAAAGATACTAATTTGATTATGAGGGTCAGTGAACCTTTATTTATCAGGCATAATATAACAACAGTCCTTCAAGAAACACATTTTCCTGTCCTGCTTGGAGAGAATAGGGAGCATGGAGGGAAGGGCCCTGAAAGGATGCTCGTTCTCAACAGGCTGTGGTGTCCTTGACTTCTTTGTTCCAGGCCCCATTCAAATTGACAACCTGAGATAAAATAAAATGTCCTCATTTTTGCTTGTGGATGAAAATCCAATAGGGAAAAATAGACTTCCTTGTCTATTGTTTAGGAGACCTATGACTTCTTGAGTCTTCAATCACTATCAACCCAAACTAATTTTCAATTCGTAAGTCAGATGAGAACAGTGTCTCAAGGGCATCAGAAAAAAATACCTGTGCTTTGTCAAATAGATTTGCAGAACTACAGAGGTTGTTTTCAAAAATCAAATAGAAACTTTTGGATTAAAAATTCTTTTGAATTAAAGAAGTTTCCATGCTAGCATTTTTTTGCTTGAAAGTACTTCTTTAAAATGAAAGAAAGATGAGATAAAAATATCTTTTACTCTGAGATCATACAGATGTCACAGTTCAAGCATTTATTTTATGATCTGTCAAATAGCACAAAAAACTCTGATATCTTTCATCAGTTCTAAAACTTGCAGTCCAAAAACTAGTAAGGATCTTAAGACAAACATTTAATTTTACAAGATTGGGTTTTTTTGCAAATTCATTGCATTAGTCTGGGGTGCTGTAATGAGGAGTAAAACCAAAACCAATTTGCTTAAAAATAAAAACTTCTGCAGCAGTTTGAGGACCTGCATTTTAGAGTTATTCTCTTTCCTATTACAAGTCCAGCCATTAAATATTTCTTCTTTCTCACAACTTTTCACACCAGTTTCCCAAATGGATTTTCCACCTGTCTGCCTTTTTGTCCCTACTCAAACATTAGTTTTCTTTCCATTTCATTGCAGATGTTCCCCTTTTTTTCATTGTGGCAAATAGGAGGACTCTTTTCATGCTGACAACATACTTACAAAAAGCTGGACTTTACTTGTTTTAGCAGACATTTGCTTTTTAAAACTCTCAGAGGGCCTGACCATATGTTCAGCTCACATTTATACAGCCTGATTAATTTAACCCATTACTGTCTTATAACTGGCTTGAGAAAATGCAATTCATAAGTATACTAGGCCTGTAAATGTAATTCTATAAAACACAAGTAAATTTGCAGTGTTAGAACACTCAATCTAGGTTTTCAGTTTAAGATACATTTATATTATAATGGCAGGCCAGAAACAAAGAAGAAATCCATTTAAATAACTTTGCAAGCACTGGAGGTTCTTTGTAGCTTTGATATGATGGTCATGGAAAATGGACTCTCATAGCATTTTTATTGATCATTTGGTAAATTATGCTTTTCTTGAAATGATACGTTTGATTAATATTTGCAGATGCTCAAAATAGCAGCATTTCTTGTGCCACCATCATATCATTTACAGTAAAGAAAGATGTTGATTCCTCCCCAGCACTGTTAACAGCAGTTCTTCAGAGTAGGGGAAATGATAATACTAAAGTTGTTCTCATTCTTACAGTTTTGAGATGAGGTAAGAACTTTGCCAACAAATGATTCAGAAATATTTAGCGACTCCAGAATACCTCTTTCCTACATGTAAAATCTTTTGGGTTCAATTTAATCCATGGAGATATGTAAGTACCTGGGTTGGGAAAGCATCTCAGCTCCAAAGCAGACTGAATTAAATACTGTATTTACTACGTGGCTGCCATTATCCCAGAGTAGGACGTTCCACTTGTGAGTTTATGTTGAGGAAGGCAGACTAAACACTATGTGGGACCAGTTCTATCACACCAAGGCTGAGATTTCCCAAAATATATAGTCCTGGCCTTTGTTTCTTTCTATATACTAGTTGGAAAGAGAATAACCTAACATCAAACACTTTTAAAATCCTGTTTTTCTGTTAGTTTACTTATTAATGAGAATATGACTTTGTCATGTGAAAATGAAAATAGTGATCATTTTTTTTACTAGTTTAAGTAATACCTGGAAATACTGCAGGTTTCACATGATGCAGGGAAAGAACCATCCTTCCTTGGAAGGATTGCAGAAGAGAGGACAAGCAGGTGGAAGAGAGAAGGTAGCATCTCTGACAAGTTCCTCAGATGGTAAAAGGCTTGACTTAAACAATCCCAGTCCTGATAGAAAGCATACTAAAGCCAGTTAAAAATCTTGCTTCTAGGATTAAACTCAGATATAGAGGAACAGGATGAAAAAATTTATTTTTACAAGTCTTCTAAATTAAAATAGACTTCCAATTACTTTCCTCAGCTGAAAAGGACAGTTGAAATATGGTGGTGTACCTTATTTTGGACACTGGCTTTGCAGGCTGCTTTCTTAGATATTTCTTCTATAATGAGACAGTAGTAAATGAAAAATATTTTTAACCTCCTCAATGTCTCTCATAAGTGAAAAGCAGAAAATCTATTTCATAGGAATGTCTTCTTGCAGAGCTTCATCTAAAACTCTCATTTTCAGGGCCAAGGTTTTGTTTTCTCACTTATGCCAGCAACGAGGTAACAAAAAAATCTTAGGCACACGCTCAGGTTACATTTCTCTGTTTCTCATACATTTTTTATTCACTGACTTAATCCTCAAGGTAGTTATGCCAGCAGAAAAGCATGCTATCTTTCCAACTTATTTTCTCAGTGACAGCAGATAGGCATGACAGGGATCTGGTCCCAGCCACTCACACATTGAAATAAAAATGTTTTAATTTACAAGACTGTTTGGGTTTTTTTTTTTTTTTCTAGCCACTGGAGAAATTAGATGAGACATGTCATTTAAATAGCATTCACACCACCTAGTTTTGGAGAATCGATTCATTCTACTCCTATATATGAGTATATATACTCAGTTTGGAAAGAAATCAACTCAGAAGTTCTCATTTCCTCACTGCTAGTATACAGGGTGATGCAAGATGTGGCTCCAACCTATGACAGCTGCATACAACTTCCAAAAATTTGGTAGCAGGAGTATTAATTACCCCAGATTTTTCCTGGGGCCAGCAGCTGCCTGGAGCACTTTGCTCTCAGGCACAGACTGGAAGCATGACACATTAGGTGCTCAGCAGAAGGCAGAGCATGGGAAGACATAGTGAAAGAAAATTATTCCTCTCACACAACATTTCTGTATGAATTTCTTCATATGTGCAAAAGATGGAATATAGATGCTGTCTCTTACTTTGTCAAGACAGCTAAGAGGAACAGTGATTTTTTTCAGAATTCCTTCAGAATCCAAAAGTATTTTGACTGTTTTCATTATCACTTGTTTCAATATATCATTGTATTCTAAAGGAAAATCTTCTACCCTTGCTGCTCATTCAGGTTACTGTGATTATTCTTAAATCCCATGACAGAGAGCAGGATGACGCTTTGCAGTAAGAGCTATGCCCTTCTTTTACTGAGTTGTGTACCACAGTATCCCACAGTACTTCACCCTTACTGTATAGCCCAAATGCAACACAAGTGATTCAATACTGCTCCACATCTCGCAGATCTTGGTTGAAATTCAGTTCTGCAAGTGCATGCATAAACAATTGCATGCCAATCTTGCTAGCTGCAACTTCAAATATTGATTAGAAAACTGAAATTTTAAGCTCTGATTCTATCTCCTCCCACTGACTTCAGCAAAGCAGCATCAGGGGAAAAAAAATTACAAATTATATTTGATTAGTAAATCTCAATCTGAATTCCTACTCTTATTACTACTAATCTCTAGTTTACTTTGTGGCTTTTAAAGCAGATTATTTTTACCAAGCCTGTCAGGAAATGTCTTTGGAATCATGTTTCACTGTCATCCAAAAAGGTGGAGGTGACTCCCTTGCCTGGAGCAAACCCCTGATAAGGAAATTTGCTGATAAAACATTTCCATCAGATTAGACTACAAATGAGCATCAGGGTCTATGAATCTACCACTTAGTGTAAAAAATAGGTAAAAACTTCTGCAAAAAGTCACTAATTTGGAAAACAAAAATACAGGAATGTTTCATGCCACAGTACCAAAAAAACTTTGTAGATTTTATTGGTGAATTTTGCCCACTTATAAAACAATGGTATGGGTACAAGTCATAGGATGCTACTTTTAGAGTCAGTATTTTCTATTAGGAATGAAGTTCAGGAAGTCTTTATCAATTCATCAGAGTTTCTTTCTAGATAACACCTTATAATTATAATCTACCTGCTGAGTGCTTTAAATCATTGATGAAAAAGTGGGGAGAGGCAAGAAGCTGTTCCACAAAGTTGTCCCTAATCTCATCAGTGAGGCAAGACTTGAGTCTCAAATCCAATTTGAACATACAAAAACTGCCCCAAAGAGTTCATAAACACCACACCAGCTCTTCTAAAGTAAAAGCAGAGCAACCATTAGTTTATAATAGCTTAGAAAAGAGAACTATTAGAAGAATATATATCTTTAATTTTTCCACTTGGAAACCTAGTTTACAACATGCATTAGTATTTGCAGAAGTAGGGTTCACTTTAACCAGGTAGTCTTTTTGATCTAAGATTGATAAAGTAGAATGAGAAAATGTGGACCTTGACATCAATTTTGGTGGTAGTGGTGGTGGTAGTAGTATTTTAATTTGTTCATTTGGTTTTACAATTTCTAGAGACAATTTTGCATTCATTTGAAGTAGATACTGGATAACTTGGCACCTAAAACAAGCACCACTGTATCTCCCAGTATGAGTGGAAAGACAGAGCACTGGAACAAGTTGGCTGGAGTGGTCATGGAGGTCTCCCACCTTGGAGATATTCAAATGCCACCTGGACAAAACCCTGGGCAGTTTGCTCAAGGTGACCCCACGTGAGAAGCGGGAGTGGACCACATGGCCTCCAGAGGTCCCTTACCAACTCAGCTTTTCTGTGATTCTGCGAGTCAGGTTAGTAGAATGTGAGTAAATCCTGGTAGGATGCTTCCTCACCATTTGTGTTATGGTATCATTGCAGCTGGATACTGGGTCAGTTACAGTGCTGTTGCCTCCAAATAAGAATCATGTGGTAAAAGTTCATTCCTTCTCAAGCAGCATCAAAAATGCCATGTTCTCAGAACAGAGCATGTTATGATTTTTTAAATTAAGATAAAATTAAATTTTCTGATACTGTTACATACTTTATGGAATCAAAGACCCTTGGTATAGGGTTAGCACGTCTATACTTTAATCTTTTCTCTTTACTTTGGCGTTTCTTCTGATAGTCAACCATGAGATAGTGTGATTCTTGCTGAAGAAAAATTCATTATTTTAGATTAGTAAAAATTGGATCTGAAATACAAGTGTGAACTAGAATGAAAGATATTAGAGGTATTACAATATAATCACATTTAATAATCATGGAGCCATGGTTGCAATCTCGACATTTCCCATTGCCTAGAAAAAACTTCAGATAATATTACAAGCAAAATTTAAATGTTCCATACTTCCATAACTGCATCATTTCTCTTTCTATGTCTCTCTCAACATCTTTTCATCTTCTGCAAGTGAGCCAACATATAAAGTTAAATTCTGAACATAAGGTCACATTCAATTTTCATTCTGCAAAAAATAAACAACAACAAGCACTGCTAACACAGACTGTTTTGGTGCACACATTAATGCAGATTTTTGGATGAATACAAATTGTCACAAAATGTCCTCGAAAGACCAGTGTTTCTGCATGTTTATGAGGTTGTCAAACTATGGCATCATTAACATTGTGTAGTGTCCAATAATTCTGTTCTCCCCATGGACAACGACTGTGCAGAAATAATTACTTGGCAATCACATGTACTCCATCACTTCCAAATTAGATTTTAGTGATCCACTGCTTTATTTCCAGAGTAATCTAATTACTACAATGGAGTTGCCTTCACCTTTTTTTTTCTTCTTTCATTTGATATTTATTGCCGCAGAGGCAATGTGAGTTAAATACAGCCAGGAAAAATATGATTTGGGGAAAAGCAGTTGGATAATGTGTTTTAAAACATAAATGAAAATGATCCTTTAAAGCCCAAGGTAAACACATGCAGTAAATCAGTGGTATAAAAAATAAAAGAACCAAGCAGTGTATCTAGAGAATTCCTTGAAGTAACAGATTTTGAAAAAAACAACCGTCTGATCACATAGAAATATTACTTTAATTTTTAAAAGTACTATTAAAATATAATTCTGACAAAATTTTCATTTAGTCACCTTGGAAAACTCTGATTGCCTAAAGAAAGGCAATCAAACTGCTAAAAGTTCTGAAGCACAGTCAGATGAGAAGCAGCTAAGGGAGCTGGGGTGCTCCACCTGGAGAAAAGGAGGCTTGGGGGGACCTCCTGTCCCCACAAATCCCTGACAGGAGATCGCAGCAAGGTGGAAGTTGGCCTCTTCTCCCAGGCAGCAAATTACAGGGCAAGAAGAAATGGCCTCAAGTTGCACCAGAGGAGGCTTAAATTGGATATTAGGACAAAGTTTTCCACCCAGAGAGTTGTCAAACATTGGAACAGGTTGCCCAGGCAGGGTGGAGTCCCTGGAGCTATTTAAAAGATTGGCCTTAAGGACATGGCTTAGCAGAGGACTTGGCAGCTCTCAGTTAAATGTTGGACTTGATAATCTTTAAATTCTTTCCCAAGTTAAACAATTCTCTGATTTGCTCTGTGATATCACCAGAAGAATAGTCAAAACTGTTTTTTCCTTCTAATAAGTAACTGGCATGTGAGAATTTGAGCTTTATCTGAGCTCTGGATGGTCCTGGATGAGGCAGTTTGCCCATATTCATCAGGTTGTGACTGTTCATCACAGTATTTCATCAAGGGCTTAAATTTAAGAACACAAGACCCTGGCTATTGAATGAGACCTAAGGATATACATACACAAAAAGTTATAGTTAAGGGATTAGCTAAAGCAGATGTATTTGACTATGTTTTTTATGCTCAGATGTTTTGGAATATTTTGTTCTTATATTCTGGACTGAGAGCTTGGTTGAATCAAAACTGTTGAAATTAATACCAAGTCTTGCAGATCCTCATGATTTGTACAACAAGCTGGTGATTATGATTGTGTTTTTCGTTCCTCTTTTTATGGGCTTTATGGAAGATATTTTTGTCAATAGCAAAGCTTGGTATTCTCATATCCAATAGGATATGTATGTGCAACCACCACCAGTTATATCAGACCTTTATGCATGTAGATAACTTGATTTTCCTAAAGTCTCAGTAGGCCTTTTACAGATAAATTAGGTCCTGTAATGCTAAAATGAGCATTTTTAGCATCGATCAGAGTTGAGACTTTTATTCAAGGAAAACAATAAGCAGTGTTCTTACTGATATATTTGCAATTAGATAGAAAGGTAGCTTTATGTTTGAAACACATAATGATGTGTTGTCCAGAAGAAGACTTCTCTATTGCCTGGACCTGTGATATTAATGCACTGAAATACTATTGCTTATGTATTTGTGAAAGTACAGTTAAAAGTACCAAGGTGAAATTAAATTCCAAAAATCAGAATTCTTGGCATACTAATAAGCCTGGGTCTTTATTTCCACAATTATCAAAACCTAATATTTTAAATTATACATACTGGTTACTGGCTATGATAGCAGAACCCATGCAGGTCTTTTTTGCAACTCTAATGGCCATTCTAGTCCAGAATATTTCATATGTATATTTCTTCAGAGACTCAGTGTCACTAAAGTTTCACAATTCAGGACTGGGAGAACAACCACATTCCCTATTATTATCACACCTTTCTTTTTGGTTTTTTTTTTTTTGTTTTTGTTGTTTTTTGTTTGTTTGTTTGTTTGGTTTTTTTTGATTTTCAATCTACTCTCTTGTACATCTTTTACTAGACAAAGGCATTCCCTGAGATCCTTTGACTTAGGTTACTTAAAAAGGATCCCTCAGGGCCTCAGCTTACTCCAGTTCCTGCACCATGAAGTGACAGAATGGAGATTGCAATGCTGAGGCCATCCAGGCAAACCTGGGAATAGAGCACAGATCCTCATGGGATGAGGGCCTGGAGAATCTTTCTGAGTAGCACAGAAAAGCTGCAGCTCCTTTTGAATGGTAAATAGCCTCCCCACATCTAAAAGTATTTCTTCCCCCAAGACCTAGAATAAAATCCTGGCTTTATCATGTAAGCTTTTCTATTCCCAAAAGCGGAAGAAAATTTTCATTCTGTTAATATTCTCTTGTTTTCAAGCACAGCTGAATCAGCATTTGCATTCAAGTTGAGGTTGCAGTGTTACCATTGCAACACAGAGAAGCAAGCAAGCAAGAAAGTCTGTATCTGAAATCTGCCCCACTCTTCATGTCTTTTTAATGAGCACCTCTCATTTTTGGCAGCAAGTCAGGATCAGATTTTCATCTCCCAAGTCAAACGCTGATACAGTCGCATTAATTGCAATTCTATCTAGAAAAAACAGAGTTTTGTCTCTAATCATAATCTGTGTTTTCCACTTTACAATTGCTCAATAAAATCAAGTGCCACAAAGTCAAGTGCTCAAAATGTCTGTTGGCAGAATTAGCAAATTTAATTGGCTTTTGTGGGAAGAACTGTGAAACAAATGGGGTTTAACTATTGCACACCTAAAGTCTAAATTAGACTTTCTAATATGATATACCTAGGAGCAGATATTTTCTCACTGGACATGTATATTAAAAATGGGACAAAGCAGACATTTTAGAAGAGACTTGTACAACATTAAAGTACACTATTTTAAGGCGAGGGAAGTCAATGCAATCAGTCCATTACAATCAAACATTTTGGTGCTCTCTAGTGGCAGAACATTGAGATGTACAATAGCTTTGCTATTTATTTGTTATTCAAAATCCTGGAAAAGCCAGAATAATTTTATTTTTTCTGAATGTACAGGTAAGTAAAGTATCTTATACTGTATTTGCCTAGTGTTCTCATATGCAGGGGAAGTGAAGCATTCTTAAGTGTCAATATAAGACAAATAAGCCTTGATTAGTGATCTCCTGTAGTCAACAGACTTCAGATGTAAGGCTGCATCCCAACACAGGCAAGGAAGCACTTACATCTAAATCACACTGATTTATACTCCAGAACTCCCTCCCCTTGCAGTCTGTGGGCTTTCACTCAAGGCTTTATGAGTGGTGGCTACCAGTACATAGCTGATGTAACAGGGATATACAACTTTATGTTGCATTCAACCATTCACATAGAAACGGTTATAAAAATATAATACCAGCCTAAGAGCTGTAAGAGAGGCGGGGAAAAGAAAGTGTGAGTGCATGCTGACCAACAGCATGCCCAAACATCCATAAATTGAACCACAAAAAAGCTCATGATTGAAAAAGAGAAGGAAAAAACACAGTTATTCTATCTCTGCTCAAAAAGCAGCAAAACCATAAGCCATTATGATATCCCGAAGCTTTAAAATTCAAAAGCAGGGACAAAATTGTGCCAAAATACTGTATGTGCAAGACTGCCATTGTTAACAGAATAAAATATTTTTTACTAAAAAGTCACTTACTTATCTTTAATTGCTGAATGTGGAGCCATTAGGAAGAACTTTCAAATATTCTAAGAAGATGGAGAGGGGATGTTCCACCTCTACAAGGAAAAAGGAACAGAATTTCGTAGATAATAGTGCTTCATGTGGATTGCACTAGACCCTTGTTCATACACACAGAAACTGAGGGGCAGGAAGATGAAGTGACTTGACCAAATTCATTTCACTGCCTAATGGCAAAGTTGGATTACATCTGAATTTTCCTGAATTCCTCTCCAGTGCTTATCCAAGAATCCTTCTCATTGAAAGCACACATCTTATGCTGAGAACAAATGGAAAGGTGCTTCTTTACGTGGAAAGTATATTTACAGTAATCACTCCAGCCCAGGGTATTTTACTAAAAGGTTCTTAAATGAACTCATGTTTAGAAACTCCTACGTGGCACAAGATAGATGCTGGTGTTTGAGAATATTAGATGAATGTGTATTAATCTATTTCCTCAGGAGAGTGGTTGCCTTAGGACAAAATAAGCTGTGTTGCCCAACCTGAGACATGACATGACTTGTCTCTTTTTCTTGAGTACATAGACTTGATGTTCTTTTCACTTGCTAACCTCTGAACTCTAGGTACTGTTCAAAGTATACTTTGAACAGGTTTCTTTCTGTTAATTACTTAAGAAAAAAATAACTGACCTTCCAAATCTCTTTATCCTAGCACTAAGGCTATAAGTCAGGAAGACTAAACCTCATGAAGTCTGTGAAAATTCAGAAAACTCACAGAAACCTAGAAACCTAGAGATTACAATAAATCACTCAGAATACAGGACAAGAGTTATACAAAGGTTCCCTGCTTGAAGGGAATAAATTTTAAAACTACTTGCATGCACAGAAGTCATAGCAATTGATTTTCCAGGAGTAAATATAAAGATTGGCTCTTCTAGACAATTGCTCTAAAGATTATGTCTACTTTGTAGCATAAAAACATGATTATGTACAAAAGGTGTTGATGTATGTAGACCAGCTTTGAAGCAAGCATTTCTATGGAAAATAAGAATAATACCATTTGCTCCTGCCTAGTTCCTGAGGTCTGTATCCTGTAATGAAATCCCATGGCACAGCATCTGCAGTGTTATCCGTAGCCAGGTTACACTGCAGAGGTCTATACCAGGTGCAGCCAAAACTTTGGACTAAAATACAGGTATTACCTTTGCAGAGTTCCAGATCCTTTCAGTTTTAAAATAACTTGCACCTACCCAGCAGAGGTATTCCTTTCAGGTTCTCCTAAAGATCATGAATGCATCCACTGAAACCAAAGGAATTCTTCAAAATCAAGACAGTGGAAAGTATAACTTGTTTAATTGCATGTCAACCAAATGAATCTAATTTCTTTGCCCAGATAATCAAAGACACAAGTTTGCTAACATGGTACTCCTTCAAAACCTCATGGTCTGAGACTTCCATCAAAATACAAGTTTGAAAAGGGAAAAATCTTCATCAGTGAAGTTGCTTTTGCCAGTAAGATAGAAATTGCACTTTTGTGTTATTTTTGAAAATTTTGTGGAATTGCATTTGTTTGCAATTGTTTGCCTGCCCCAAGTTCTCAAATGTATGAAGTGACAAAAAAGTTTCAAGACCATTTTGAGAGGACTCTTGAATATTTTTAAAAAAATTATCAGTAAATTAAAACCTTCTAAATATAAGGTTCTTCTACTAGTCATGTAATTTCTGACCATGAAACCTATTGTGTCTTTTGCTGTAGAAAGACAGCAAAAAGAAGCAGTGGTCATTTAGGGCTTTCTCTTTGTCCTGCACTACCCTATTGTTTCCCATCTTCCATATGGTTTGGAACTGGGGAGCAGAACAAGCTGTTTGCTGAACTTACTTCACATACCAATTCCAAAGAAATATTTCATGCCATCTGGACATTGCCTACAGGCTGGTAACTACCAAAACTGGTGGGAGGAAGCCAAGGGCTGGTGCTCCACTAGTGGTGGTATGAGACAAGCAACAAGTGCCTTATTCACAGAGATTGAATATATCAACTATACCTAAAATCTGCTGCTTTTAGAAAATGCATTTCTAAGCTGCATTGCAGGCTCTGGGAACACTGTGGGAACCTGCCAGCTACAAGGACATGGGAATATGTCCTGCTCAGAAGGAATGCATGACTTCACCAGGTATTGAAAAGCAATTCGTTCATAGAACGGATCAGGAGAGTTTAAACAAGGAAGAGGTTTTGCATTTGTACATGAAAAAATGAGGAATGTTACTTTTTTTATTCAACAGAGTATTTGTGTTCATGGTAATAGTTGTTTCAAAATATTTAAGTACATTTGTCCCTCTTCTGAGATTCAGTAGAATGAAGAGATTAAAGCAGTCAGCACAAGGTCTATTACTGTCATTATTTAACATAATTTCAACAGGATGATTGAGTGTTTTCTTGCTTCTGATATGCAAGTGACATTTTTCATGATTGAACAGCCCTGGAGAGAAATTGTAAACTGCATGAACAGCCATTGGATATTTTTTTGCCCTACCCAAAAAACTCAATGAATGCCTTGAGTTTCTCCTGTGTGGAAAATGTCTCACCATCCAGACATGACAGTAAACACAAGTGAAAGCTAACAAAATGATTCTCCTTGCTTGATTTCTGTAAGGCTTCAAGGTAGGAGAATGAAAATCTGAAAACAATTGATTCCAATTTTTACTCTCTTATGTGTTTATTTAAAAGGAAACAGAAGTCACTATATTTACTATACTGATGACAAATAAATAAATAAACATTTTTTTTTCCTCTGCTAAAGCAGAGGAATGTTTTCATTAAGACAGGCTTTGAGTGTGAGGGTCAGGCCTAGTGACAGATTCAGATGCACACATATTGATTAAATCTAAAAATACAACTCAGGGAAAATATAGATGGCAACATTTAATGAACAATCACATCCCTAAAGAAAAGGTGACTGATGATTGCACTTGTCTTGGTATTTTTAAACAGAATGAAGAAAAAAACAGTTGTTCCTTTTTTTTTTTTTAAGGACATGCTCTCCACTCTGAACAAAACTTCACATTAAACAAATGTATATTCTATGAATATTCACTCTATCACTTGGTACTTTATCACATGAGTTGGAACATGAATATTACATGATAATGTTGGGAAAAGCTTTTCTTCTGTTCTTAGACATTATTTCAGTGGAGGTGTGACTTGCATGATTTCTGGTTTAATAACCATTGCTTCATTTTACACTTGGAAATTTTTCAGGTTGCATTATTTTCCATTATATAATGCTGCACTACTGCCTTTTAAGTGGTTGCTTTTTCATTCCCAAAACATTTTACTCTTGGTGTACTAAGTCACAAATTGACCTGGCTGGTTTGCTTCTGCAGGTGTTGGTAATAGAAAGCCACAGGCTTTGTGTATCAGGCTCTAATTGTGCTGGGCAGATAAGGCAGGAGTGGCCACCCGCCCTCTGGGGCAGAGGGTGCCAGTGGTCTTGGGCAGCTGCAGGAGAAGGAAGGAGTCCCCCACTGAAAGGTAAATTTTAAGGAATTTAGATATTTTAGAGAAGCTAAGATTTTAGTTAGAGATAAGCCTTACTAGAGTTAATTCAAATAAATGAGTAGGCCTTGATGAAGTTAAAAATTAGTAGTTAACTAATAACTGATTGCTTGTCAGCACAATGTTTAGTTAGCTGGGTTTATAATGAAGAATATAGAAACTGATAAATTGCTTTTAGGAACATAAGGCAACTGTGGTCCTCCTCTGTTCTGAAACCAATTGAAGACAAGGAATGGGAGTTCTACCAAGAGTTCATTTGTCATACTTGCATTGAAAAGGTAGAAAGGTCAGAAGGAGGAAGACTTCATTTACTTCCTCATTTTGGGACCCCTCCCCATGGAAGGGACACTGACCCATTTCAAGGGACAAACTACGCATGCTGAATGGCTTTTGAAATGCATGGGATGTACCAAAATGATGAATGTGTATTTGTATTTTGGGTATTCAATACTTGTATGGATAAAAAGACTCTGTAATCACCTTTGTTCTTAAATTCCACTTGGCCCGTGCCACTTCATTACTTTCGGTTACTTTTCCTTTTTCATTGAATGAATGCCACTGCCTTTGCAAATGCTGTTCCCTGAAAGAGAGAAAATATTTTTCAGTCCTAAAATCAGACAATTGCTATTCATAGGAACAAGTTTTCAGCCAATAAATACTATAGGAGCCTGGACTGAAAGGTCACTGCTGCGATAGCCAGTCAGGGTCTGTTTTATTAAT